TGTGACTAAGTCAGTGTGATGGTGCGAGCGGCTCTGTCCCTGGTAAACTACAAGCCAAGGTAGCGTTGCAAATCACCAATAACAGTGCAAGTTTGTCTCTTCTACAGTTCAGGATTCACCTCGGTCAGAGCGACCCTGTCTGGTGTAGTGAAGACCAAGTTGTTTACGTAGACGCGGTTGAAGAAATGTGTAGACACAGAACGGATGAACAGCGACGGGTGAGTGGACGAAGGACGGAACACGAGGTCAGCAAAAGTAGTGAGTAGCGTGTCGTGCCACTCATGGGGCGCCTGGCAGAGACCTCAGAGCATGTTGCGTACCCCATTTTTGGGGGCCTGGTCGTGGTTGCCTTGAACGGATGGGCTGGGTTGAACGCTGGGATACCAGATTACCCGAGAGTGTACAGTGTACAGCAAAGGACGTGTGTACCAAGGTACTCTCACACTTGGTCGAGGCGACTAGGTAGTCTAGCAACCAGTTGGTCGCGCCCACAAACAATTTGGTCGATGCAACCAACCCGCAAACGCACCAACCTGGTGCGCAATCGGAAGTAAACAAAAACATTGCAGCATGTTGCACTAACGAGACTCAATATGACTTGTGCAATAATCGATTTAAAAAAAGGCTGGCTACTAAAAATGATGCAGTAACTATAGGATCTACATAAAATCCTATATGCATGGTTGGGTCCAAAAATCAGGCTGGTGGTATATTTGCAAGTTACTTGCTGAGAACCCGACTAGCCAAATTTAGAGCCTGATTGACTAAACCAGCCAGGTTGGTTTGACTTTTGGAGTCAACCAGGGCCTTCCACCAAAATAAGGGGTATGTAAGATGCTCTTAGATTGGTCGTCTCAGGCTCCACTGGAAGTGCCAGATCTCCTCGTGTAGGCGCCCTTGGAGAAAGGCAGTAGAGAAGTCTAGTGAGTGTAGCTTGTAGTCTTGCTTGATGCAACGTAAAGTGACACCCCAATTATAGTCCTCGAGGTCGGGTTGAAGGTACGAAAGAAGTCAACATCTTTACGATGACTGAAGCCTCTCGCCACGTAGCGCGCTTCTAAAGCGGCAGTGCACATTCATGGGGTGGAGGTACCGGTTTATCACTTGCCTCTTGAGGATACCGGGTTTGTGGTTGGGCGTGGGAGGCCACGAATAGGTCTGCACCAACCCCTCCAGAGCGGGGTGTTCCCCCATGCGCGAAGAAAACGGAGATTATTAGGATGCGTTACAGCTATGTCGGCATAGTGCGAATCAGGGTTGGCCTGGATTAGGACGCGCACCTCACGCAGACGTGTTTACTGTAGAAGTGTGAATTTTTTCGAAACCTGGAAACCTTGTACCTGTCGAAGTCGCCAAAACACTGTATAGTCCAAACACCGATCCAACTCAGGATAGATCGCCAAATTGTTCAGAGAGGCAATGCGCCCTCGATTGCCTCTGAAGTTATTTTTCCGCCCCGCGCTGAAACTCCCGCCCTTCCGTCGGCTATTCCCCCAACACAGCCCCGTGGCGAATTTGTTCAAAATGGTTAGAATTCGCCAGCATATTCTCTAGGCCTCGCTCTAGTGTTTCAGCCGGCTAGACTGTTCGCCAACCAATCAAACCACCGTAAAGGGTGTGCATAACCAAAATTTCCAGAAACCACCCCTAGGAATGTGCACCGCCGCTTTAAGACAGGCGGAGATCCAGGCGACCGCTTCACCTTGAAGATCCACATGCCACGTCCAATGAGGAGGGATTAACTGCATCGACGTAGTTACCTGTGGATCTTCAAGACGCCATCTTGATTCCATGGCCGCTATCCATTGAGAGGCCCACTGCCCTGACACAGTCTCACGGTACGTGCGAGAAGTTGTTATGTTAGGGTCTCCCTTAGGGGCTAGCAACAGGGCACAGAGATGGAGAGATGCGACTGCCAAGAACTCTAGATTAAATGGTCTGCCTTCTAGAATGTCATAGCCAAGGGGAGACTCACCCCCGGTGAACAGAGGACGGGCAACCACCACGCCGCAGGTGGCGTAGTCAAGGAGGCGAGTGGTGGCAAAGTCACTGACAGCAGTAACAAGTGCCGAGACAGACCACCGAGGGGCGGGATCACGTGAGACAACATGATGAAACGTGTGGTAGTATTTAGTGATGGGGTGAGAGGAAGTTGTAAAATACAACCCAGGAGGTGACGGGAGAACGGACACAGGCGGAGAACGATTAGGACTAGAACGAAGCAGGACAATGCGGAGGTTGTTAATAGGTGACGAGGGACGAGCACGTTCGGGACATGGCTGAGAGTGCGGGACAAGTGGAGGAGCGGACTGTGAACGAGGAGGAAAGAAAACAGCCAGGGATAAGTCCGGAGGAGGAAGACCGTTAGCAGTATGAGGTTGTGAGCGGTCACTCACAGGAGGAAGGGAGACCAAGGGCCTGCAGGCCACACACAGGAGGGAACAGTTGCTGTAAAAGTGGCGGCTGGGGCTGCTGCTACTGCTGCTCCAACTCCAGCCTCTCCTGCTTCAACCGCTCCTGCTCCTCACGCTCCAGCTGACGTGGCTCCTAGAAATGCGTTGCTGATGGTGCTGCTGCTGGTCGCGCGCTGGCGTGCAGCGCGTGCTGTTGCTGGGCTGAAATCGGGCGGGCATCGACACCTAAGGAGGTGCGTGACAGGGCCAGCTAGGGGACACAGTTAAGGGATACGATACGGGTGGGCACACGATCTTAAAAAAATAGGTTCTTAAAAGATCCTGCTCTGATAGCATGTTAAAGTCAGTAGGCAAAATAGTGAACCCCCCCTTCTAGTTGGGTCCAACTTGAATCAGTTGGCCAGCACAAGGTTAAAAATATAACGAACTTGCATAGAACGCGAGCAGGGTGTGCCCAAAAGTTTGAGCAGGGATTACGACCAATCAACAGCCTCGCGTCAATGTTCTAGAAAGATCCTGCTCTGATAGCATGTTAAAGTCAGCAGCAAAATAGTGAACCCCCCCTTCTAGTTGGGTCCAACTTGAATCAATCAGTTGGCCAGCACAAGGTTAGAAATATAGCGAACTTGCATAGAACGCGAGCAGGGTGTGCCCAAAAGTTTGAGCAGGGATTACGACCAATCAACAGCCTCGCGGCAATGTTCACAGACACAAACATGGTCCAGAACTTGCCACACTGTATGGCACTTGTGGGCTGCGACTCTCAATCAAGAAACCGACCCCGCAAGTCAACGTTTCCCAGAAATACAATACACACTGGACACGCCCGTTTAGGAGGCACACGAGATACGACTATTGTGCATAGCAATATTAATTTACACTCCCCTCCCCCCCCCCCCCCCCCCCCCCCCCCTCCCCCACTTCCCCTTTCTCCCCCACCCCCCCCCCCCCCCCCCAAAAAAAAAGCGGTTTAAGAGGTATATGTTCTCGAGCGGGGTATAACAAATACCCAGGTTGGGGGCAAGGGTCAAGAGAGAGGATAGCGTGGCAACAAGTGTGTGAGTGAGGCACCTGGGGTGGAATGAAAGAATCAGGAGGGCGTGAGTGCTCATGTATTTGGGTTGGCAAAAGGTGGCTATGCGTGTAGAGCAGTGTAGGTGGAATATTCTGATGTAAAGAGGGGAAAGGGTGAGAGAGGAGGGTAGTGACTTAGGTGTGCAAGTGGTATGTAATGGGGTGGGGAACATGCCATGGAGGGCCGATAGATATATTGAGGTTGTGTGTGTGTGTGTGGGGGGGGGGGGGGGGTTGTCACCGTGAGAGGGTGTATGGGTTGGTGAGTAGGCTGGTGGGTAGGCTGGAGGGTAGGATGGTGGGTAGGCCGGTGGAAAAATTGATACCCTTGTGACGGAAATCTTGGCTGGCGGGTAGGCTATGAGCTATACATGGGCTAGTGGATGGCGTGTGAGTGAAATTTGAGCTGGTAAATTAGCTATGAATGATATGTAGGCTAGTGGGTAGGCTGTGAGTGACATCTGGGTTGGTGGGTATATTGTAAGTGAGATTAAGGGGGATAGGCTATGAGCAAGGGATCCAATGAGCACCTGGGGGAATATAGCGAGTCATATGTTTGTTCCAAGGTGGAATGTGTAAACTGTACCTCCTTATATACTAAATGTTTGGGTGGCTCCGAAGCTGTTTCCAGGGCGGCATGAACGGTATGCGCAATGGTGGGTCACCCGGTCTTGCACACCAAGAATGCATAAAGCACGCGCCATACGACTCGTTGAAACTTGTGTGGCCTTTTTAGTGGACGAATCATACTAACAAACATTTAAAGAATGCCCAACAATAAAAACACTCAATAGTTTACTCATGGAGGATTGATTAAGGTCAAGGTCGTTTGGAGGATGCGCAGCGCTATTCGGCAAAAATGTCATTCGTCCATTGCCAGTTCATCGGTCCAAGCACCCAATCTTTCTTCCAGTGGCACACACGAGTTGCACGGCAAATCCGGATAATATGTATCGGGACAAGACGTTCAACGGTGTTGTTTCAATGAAGAATCAAGAGTGCAATCTGTGCTTTCATACTCAAAAAAAAAAAACCCTCTTTGGTGCATACTTGCAAACAACCGAGTGAAATGACTCGTTCAGCCAGCTCGACGCCCTAAGCACGAAATGTCACATCTTGTCTACAAAACAGTGTTTCCGTAACCAGTTCCTGTAGGCAAGATGTGTGGTGCCACCGTATTCATACACTGCACTCTCTCGACCCCATCCATCAGCGACGTACTTTGGCAGAATGTCATGTTGAGCACATCCATAGTAATCACCGGCCCAATGCTTGGTCGATAGAGCAAGCTCATAATCGACATCTTCAGCGGTCATGGTCTGGCCTTCTTTGGCAAGAGTAGCACAGCTCACCATTACGTGATGAAAATGGATGCTGCACTGCTGCGTAAAACTCACTTCTTCAATAATCGCCAAATCATCCAATAAACTAGCCCCCCTTCAGCATTTGGTATCTCACTCAGCTTGTTGCGCCGCGTTCTTTTGGCATTGCGCCCATCACCGTTCCCCCTCCATGGTTGTTACGCCCATGTGTACCTCCCATCTCTTTCCCCTCTCTCCCTTACCCATCACTTCCCTCCTTGCTCTCTCTTCCCTCCCTGCCCTCTTCTCCCTCCCTGCTCTCTCATCCCTCCCTGCTTACCCATTATTTCCCTCCCTGGTCTCTCTTCCCTCCCTGCTCTCTCATCCCTCCCTACTCTCTCTTCCCTCCCTGCTCTCTTCCCTCCCTGCTTACCCATTATTTCCCTCCCTGCTCTCTCTTCCCTCCCTGCTCTCTCTTCCCTCCCTGCTCTCTCATCCCTCCCTGCTCTCTCTTCCCTCCCTGCTCTCTCATCCCTCCCTGCTCTCTCATCCCTCCTTGCTCTCTCTTCCCTCCCTGCTTACCCACTATTTCCCTCTCTGCTCTCTCTTCCCTCCCTGCTCTCTCTTCCCTCCCTGCTCTCTCTTCCGTGGCAACGTGGACGGGAATGAGCACCGATGACGCGGCGGTTCGAGCGGGATGGGAGGGACGACTTGCGACGGGGTAAACCGCGATATGCGAGGGACTTCGGCTGCGAGCAGGCGCGGGGGGAGAGCATGCGAGCAGGCGCGGGGGGATAGCATGCGAGCAGGCACGGGAGAAAGGCATGCGAGCAGGCGCAGGGGAATAGCATCTCGCATACCCTTCCCTCTCTTTCAATCGTTACCCCCTTGCCCTTCGCGGCCCCATGCGCTTCCTCATTGCTTCCGTTTTACGATCGGGTCATCCTGTCCACCTAATTCTCCTTCTTTGCGCCATGCCACCCGCTTTCATATAATACGTGCCTTGTCCTCACGCTTTCATTGCCTATGTGGGCAAGCTCCAGGTTTTCCCTTCCCTCTCTCCGTCCTTCCCATCTCTTTCCCCTCTCCCTTACTCTTTTCGCTGCCCTTTCCGCTCTCTCCCTTACTGCCATCTATTAAGCCTCTCTCCCTTACTCCCATCTCTTTCCCCTCTCTCCCTCACTCCCAAAATTGCCCTTTCCCCTCTCTCCGTTACTCCCATCTTTCCCCTCTCTCCCCTACTCCCTTCGCTGCCTTTTCCCCTATCCCCCTTACTTTCATCTCTTTCCCCTCTCTTCCTGACTCCCTTAGCTGCCTTCTCCCCTCTCGCCCTTACTCCCATCTCTTTCCCCTCTCTCCCCAATAGGGTACCACCTCCGCCCTTTCCCCTCTCTCCCATACTCTCATTTCTTTCCTGTTTCTCCCTAAATCCCTTTGCTGCCTTTTCTCCCTTGCTTATCTTTGTTTCCTTCTTGCCCATGCTTTGCTTTTCCCTAGGTTTCCCTGTGTTTCCCCCCAACTTACCCTGTTGTTGTGCTCTTACTATATGTTTCTGCTCCCCCTGGCTTCTCCTACCCACCTACCTTGTTCCTTCTGTGGTGCAGCTAGTAAGGGCATGAAGCAATGAACAAGACGAGCTGGTGCACCATGCGTGACTGAGTCATAGTGATGGTGCGCCGTGCTCTGTCCCAAGTGATTTACAAGCTAAGATTCTGCACAGCTCACTAAGGTCAGTGCAGGTGTGTCTCTTCTGCAGCTCCGACTTCACAAGGGCCAGTGCCTCAGTGTCAGTAGTAGCAAAGACCAAGTCTTCGACGTACACGAGGATGTAGAACAGCGGCAGAAAAGTGTCGGTGCGAAAAATCAGCGACGGGAAAGTAGTCGAAGGAGCAAACCCAAGAGCCACAAGCGTCGTCCTCAGTGTATTGTGCCACTCACGAGGCGCCCGGCAGAGACCGTAGACTGGCTGCTGGAGGCTCCACTGGGTACCCTTAGGAAACGACCCAGTAAAGCCAGGTGGGCGGCGTAACCTGATCTCCTCGTATAGGCTGCCCTGCAAGAAGGTTGTGCTAAAGTTAAGCGAGTGGAGCTCGTGGTCGCGCTGTGCTGCAATGTGCCGTAACACCCGAAGAGTGGTCATCTTCGGGGTGGGGGAGAAGGTGTGGAAGAAGTCGACCCCCCGTCGCTGACTGAAGCCTTGTGCAACATAACGCGCCTTGAAGACACGCGGAGAACACGGCGATCGCTTCACCCGGCAGATCCATAAGCCATCGACTAAGTTCGCCCCAAGTGGGGGAACTGTGTCGACATAAGTATCTGTGGACTTCCAGGTCCTATGCGTCTATCGCTGTCTGCCACTTAGAGGAATAATGCCCCGTGATCGCCTCTCCGTAAGAGCGCGGAGTCGGTATGTCTAGTGCATCTGGGTCTTCCTCAGGGGCAAGCAGCATGGCAGCGAGATGAGGTACAGCAGCAGCAGCAGACACTCAAGCTCAAACGGCCTGTCCTCAAGGACGTCTGTGCCAAGAGCACACTCACCCCCGACGGACAGACGACAGTCAGACTCTGATTCAGTGACAATACTCTTGACGCGGTCGATACGACACACAACAGCAAAGTCAATAAGCTTAGTGACTAAGGCAGACACAACAAGAGACTCAAAAGTAGGGCCAGTGACAAGTGCAGCTAGAATGCGCATGACAGTATGACTAGCAGCACGAGCAAGGTCAGACTCAGGGTCAGGAACGTCAGGAAGAGAGGACGCTGGGGGAGATAGCAGAACAGGACGCTGTGCAACAGAGGAAGGACGAAGTGTCATAGTGTGCGTGCCAAGGACTGGTGGAGGACAAGGACGAGGAACACGACGAGCATGATGAACAGTGCGAACAGGCGAGGTAGGACGAGACGCAGGCTCACGACGCTCTGTCAGGGAGTCTAGCCGCTTAGTGTAAGATGAAAGAGCAGGCATTGGGGAGTCCGGCGGTAACTGTGTCTAAGATGGGTTAGGCGGCGGACACAGTCAGGGAGGAGTAAGGCTAGTGGAAGACGGAAGGCCAAGAACCTGGCGAAGTGCTGAGCCTGGTGGTGGTAGTGACGGCTACGACTGCAGCAGGAAGAACGGTCATCGCTGTGCAGCACTCTCAGTACCAAAGCCTCTAGCTTCTGTACCTCCAGTACCAGCACCTCCAGCACCTCCAGTACAAGTACCTCTGGGACCTCCAGCTCTAGTACCTCCAGTACCTGGAAAACCTCCAGCTCCGTGTATCCAGCACCGATAGCTCCAGTAATTTTAGCACTAGGACGTACAACACCGATAGCACCTCCAGCACCAGCACCTCCAGTACCTCCTGTACTTCAAGTGCCAGTACCTCCAGTCTCGACTCCTCGTGCACCTCTAGTACCTCCAGCACCAGTGCCTCCAGTACCAGTACCACCAGTACGTCAGCCGCAGGAGCTCCAGCATCAGCACCTCCAGCGTCGCCACCAAAGCGGAACCGCCGAGTAACCCACTTGCAAAGCTACTGTGGCAAAAGAGCCTCGGGTTGATGAGTCAGCTGCTGGTATTCACCCCCAGAACATTCGGCAGAAGCACCGACGACTCCACCATCACCCGGACGCTCAGGCCCCTAGAACCAGCACCCCAAAACTCAACACCCCCGGAACCAGCACTGCCAGAGTCTCCACCAGTACAGTCCGCACGTCTAGTGTCCCCACAACCCACAGCAGCACCGGAGTTGACAGCAACAGGCAGCAGAGGCGGCAAAGATGGCCGAGGTGGAAAACCAGGAGGGGTTTCCAAGCGCGGGAGCGACGAGTGGTCGCTGTTTTGTCAGCAGCAACGCCACCCGCTCACCTGGGCCAGAGGTGTCGGAAGTGACCTCCAAAGGCTCAACCAAGGGGGGTGGGTCTACCTGAGACACACCTGAGGGAGCAAGAAGCGGGGCCGGGGTGGGGGGTGGGGGGGGGGGGGGGGGGGGGGGCCAGGGGTAGTGAAGTGGGGGTAGAGTCGGTAGAAGCAAACCGACTCGTCAAAGGTGACGTCCTAGGAGGACAGGACTCGGCGCAAGGCTAGGTGGTAAAACTGCCAGCCAGACGCGTCGGTGGGAAAGCCAAGGAAGACACAGCATGAAGCTTGTCTGCGATGGTATCCTGGACAAGGGCATGCAAACACCTGACCCAAAACGCTGACGCATCGCCAACCTACCCCGTTCAACGCAGTGTAGGCGAGGTCTCTATCACGAAGACATGGGGCTAGAGGTTGAGCTGATGCGCGGCGTATCGGACCGCAAACGGCCACAGAAAATGGGGAGCAGCCGCATGGACCATGGAGGTGCGGGCAACATCCGTGAGCAAGCCAGTCTGGTGCTCAACAACCTTATTCTGTTGTGAAGAGGCCGGAAGTGTGAACGTCTGGGTGATGCCCTTCCCACGACAAAAAGCCTCAAAGAGGCGGGAGGAGAACTCACCGCCGCTGTCAGAGTGTAGACGCAGGACCGGAAGGTCCTGCTAGAACCGCACGTAAAGCTAGCGGTAGACAGTGTGGATCCAGGGGATCAAGACACTAGGGACATCCGCCTTGCTCTGCAAATGAAGGATCGTCGTATAACGCATATAGTCGTCAACAACCAGTAGAAAGTAGCGCTCGCGGTCTGGCCCATTGACGCGGGCTGAGCCCCACACGTCCATGTGGAGAGTCTGCAGAGGAGCAGTCGTCGGGGGAAACGAGGAGGAGTGAGGAGCGGCGCGCTACCACCCCTTGACGCAGGGAAGACATGCTGGTGCAAGCGAGCGCGGGAGAGGGGGCAGGGAAGGCCAGATGCAAGGCAGGGAGGGGAAGACACGGTGAGTGCGTGCTACGCAGACACGGTAAGGAGGGGTGACCAAGATGGTGGTGCCAGAGAAGAGTCTGGTGCGTAAGAAGTCGACACGAGCAAGACGCAGCTAACTGACTCGACGCAGCCACAGGACCTGACACATTCACCTATGCAGACACATGATTCAGTGTGTACAGGCCAAACCCGGGCCTTTGTGTGAACGTGGCGAGGTGGCGGTCGGTGCGAGTACACGAACAAATCGCCACACGCTCACCTCCAGGAGTAGTGGTAATGACCATATCGTCCTAGAGGACAGCGTTACTCAGCAAGTTCGTAGAGAACGAGGGGAGGTAGAGACCTAAGAGGGAGCTAGGAACCGCCGGACACAGTAGAACATTAGAGACACGTAAAACAACTGGGCCCCCAGAGGGGTCTGCCAGGTGCAATGAGCGGTGTGACTGTGGTGCTGTCGCGGAAGAAATTGCATGACGCTCCTGAGTCAAGTGTAAAAGTGTGCAGGGCCTCAGCAGGAGTAGCACCTGGAACAGTAGACTCACTAGCATGTAGGGCAGCCGCCTCTATACCAGGATCGAGAGGCACGCACAAGTAACAGTCACCCTCAGCACTAGCAGAACCAGCATACATAGCATACAAAGCAACATTGATTGCATCAGAGTCTAGAGCAAACACATCAACCCCCTTCTGGAGCAATCCTAACCAGTTGGGGATCTCAATGTCATCACCGTACTGGGTGCGCTAGGCATCCTCAAGACGGAAGAATCAATGATACTCAGTGTGTCCAATCTTCCCACAGGGGTCACCAGCCCGGGGACCCGTGCACCTGACGTACGGGCAATGACACTAC